TGCTGACCCCAAAGCAATTATGCATTTTTAAAAGATAACTTTGTTTTTAAACCTACCAAGGAGGCTGAGGCCTAGTTAAGTGAACTGTGGACTATCGGTTGTCAAATAGCCCAACAAACAGGTGAAAAAGAAAGCACAGATAAAACAGAAATATGATCTGCAAAAGTAAATTGCTTTGGACTTAGTAATGCTGATAAGACACATGCACATATAAATATAATCAGATACTCGTGTCTTCTGAGCCCATTCCCACTGACTTAATTGCTCCAAGATTCAGCTTTGTGATAGTGAAGGAAAACCGTGGTCATATAGACTAGCACAACTTCGTGTATCCTAGAAGGCGTTGTCTCTTATGCTCAGCCGTTGAAGTTAATGTATTCATATGGCATAGACTCCATGAAAAGAGAGAGAGTTCTGTTGCTTGAGGTATGACAGAGTAGTGGGATGGCTCAGGACACCTGGGCAGGTGAATGCAGTCATTTATTTTGTCCATTTTGCCATCTCTGATGTAACTTTCTGCTCACTGCCACCATAAAGTTAGATTTCAGACTTTAGGATTAAAGACTCTCGCTAAAGTTTTCAGCTCATTATTCACTGCTGCTTATAGTTTCTTCTCTAACCAAGAGTTTTGGAATTCTTTCAGATGACTCATCATCTCTAACAGTGTACACATACCACAGTGGTTTCGTGGCTGACTTCTTCCTGAAATACACTTGTTAGTGAACCTAAAAGGCAATCTGGCAATGTTAGACTTTGGCATAAAAAGGAGTTTAGAGATCATCGACTCCAGTCCCCTGGTTTTACAAATGAGAAAACTAGGACTAAGCCTGATGTGGCCTGCCCACAGTCTCACAGCCAACTTATGGCTGAGCCAAGACTAGAACTCAGAACGACTAAAATACATTGTAGGGCCTCATCAAAAAATAGTGGTTTATTTACCTTATTGCCTAGTTAGATTTTGGTAAGTGAATACCATTTTACACGAGTAGTTGTTCCATAAGTCTGCAATTTGGATCAGTTTAATTTTCCAAATCTTAACATTATGCCATAGGATTCATACGTATTCATCAGCGAACAAAACTTCAAAAGGTAGTGTTAACCCTGTCTCTCAAAACCCCTGCTATGAAAGATTTCCATTAAAGGCAAAACACAGTTTCTTATCTAAAGTGTTAGGATGGCCCATATGAAACTGCTATTTTTATAGGTCTGACATGATCAAATATCAGCAGTTTCATATGGTTCAATCTAGTATGTACATTTGTGGCAGATGAGGTAAGAACAGCTACCTTCTTTGTAAGAGGAAATACGTCAAGATAAATTTGCTTTTCTAACATTGGTACATTTTCAAGCTGGAGCTTCCCACCAGGAAAGGGAAGAAATCCCATTATTTACACAGCAAGTAAAGCATGTTGGCTCTCCTGTTTCCCTGCCTCCCAGTTTCAAACAGAATTCTGACATGTTACCTTTCATTCAACATTAGATTCCTGGACAGTTTCACCAGTACCGAAAGTGTGAAGTTTTGTTCGCAATAAACAGAAGTGTGTATCTTTCTGCCTTCAGCTCTGGAAACTCTTGCTTCATGGCTTAGAAAATAAAAGTAGCTCTGTGCTCTGTTTTGGTCTGCTGGTTACGCTAAGCCTCACAAACCACTGCAGTACAGTGTGGGTCTGTGGAGGTCAGCTCTAAATCTTGGGTCTTGTTACTTGTCTTCCTTTTCAGAGGCATGAAAGTCATTGAAAGCCGAGCCCAAAAAGATGAGGAGAAAATGGAAATTCAGGAGATCCAACTGAAAGAGGCCAAGCACATTGCTGAAGATGCTGACCGCAAGTATGAAGAGGTCAGATCCTAGACCCAAAGCTTCATAGACCCCCAGCAGTGGCAGGGGGCAGGGATCAGTGGATACAGCCTTTCATTCTTAATTGAAATGATCTGCTTCCTTGGCAGATATAAGTGGTTTTGAGAAGCAGAATTTCTTTGTCTCCACAAAATGATTCTTATTTGATCCTTTTAGGGGATCCCAGGCTTCATCATGAAGCACTGGAAAAGACCAAAGCTTCCCCAAAAGACCAGAACAAAAAAGCTGTGGCCAGGAGAAGGGAGAATTGGGCCTCTCTGTCTGTGGAAGGAGCCTCTCATGCTTTCACTGTGCAAGCAGTTCTTGGTGTGGTTTATTAGCACAGTCCAGTTCAGACAATGTGGTGTTATAGACCATGCTCTTGTAGAGATAAGACAATGCACTCGCTCAGTCGATTCACGGAGGACATTTTTAATCTGTCCTCCTTTCTCCTCAAGGTGGTAGAATCTCATTATCAGCACAGGTTCATAGTTGAATCAGCTTCTGGTGATGGCCCCATGAAAACAACTTCCTATGGTAACAGAGCCAATAAGACTTAAGGTTTTAGTTTTGCCCTTAGTGTACCATGGCTATCTTGAAATGTCATTGACTCTCCTTTATTATTATCATTATTATTACCACTACTACTTCCCGATTACACTATGCCTGCTAATTTTGAAAGACTTCAAAGGATCCCTTCTTTGCTCAGTTCCTTTCTTCACTGAACACAAATTTAACTTCATTAGTCTTTTCACAAGCTCATCTCCTGTCAGCGTCTCTTGCTATTCTGTTGGCATTTTTAACCTCCTCCACAAAAAAGGAGATTGAGGTACAGAACTCTAAATTGATGGAGTTCTCAGGATTATTTTCAGTGCTCTCTTGGCAGCCCCTACCTTTACAGCATAAAATGTGTCATGTCTCATGATACTATTTTTGAGATTATGAATTTCATATTTCTCCCTCCTTCCACACTTTGGTCTGGCTGCTATGTAATTATACAGACTTCACCTGGGTCAGACTTAAAATGAGACTGCCCACTCATAACCAATCTTTCTGGGTCTTTGTGAGCAGAAGCCTCTGGTCTCCTCTCCACTGGGACTCCTAATGGAGACTTGCTTCTCTCCAGTCCATGGGAAAGAGGATCATCTTATGTGTAAACAAGATCTTTTAGGGGCTGATGGATCCAGTCCCCACCCCCACACCCACTTGTTCAAAGCTTGCAAACCCCATGGTGCGTGTGTATTGTGTTTATCCTGCTGCAGGTGGCCCGTAAACTGGTCATCATTGAGAGTGACCTGGAACGTGCAGAGGAGCGGGCTGAGCTCTCAGAAGGGTAAGCAGGCCTGGCTCCAGGAGGCCGTGTGTGGGGTGCCGCAGAGCAATGACTAAACAGCATGACCTTCTGGCAGCTGCACATTTACCTGTTTCAGCTCCGGGCTTCTTATGTGCTCATTTGATGTAGATGAGCCATGAGTCTGGAACACGGAGGACTTGTGCGGGGTGTCTGTGTATGAATGCGTGTATCACTGCATGCCTTACCTGCACACTGATTTTGAGAATGGCCTTGTGCATTTCCTGTGTCCACTAACAGCCAAGTTCGACAGCTGGAAGAACAATTAAGAATAATGGATCAGACCTTGAAAGCATTAATGGCTGCAGAGGATAAGGTACTGATGACTTGTGTGGTTTTTAGGTTTAACTGCAACCCAGATGTCTTTCAGCTTCCAATACCTACTGGTTCATTTGGTATAACAACTGCACCTTCACTATACCCTCTGCTATCTTATATCTTGCTTTAAGTGCTTTCTTTGGGTCCTTTATGCTCCTTTGTTTTCTTTCAGAAATGCTCTTTGGTGCAGCCAAAAAAGAAGCCAAATTATCACACTTCAAAGTTGTTGGGTTTTGTCACCCTGCCTTTCTGCTGTTGCAAGGCTGTGGGGCAGTGTCTGTGGCGAAATTGAGTGTTTTAGTATCTGATGATTTGGCTACTTTAAGGCAGCCCTTTGTTCTCTAGGACTCAGTTTTCATTTTTTCCCATCCCTCTCCTTTTTCTCTCCTCCTTCCTTTGGCTTGTCTCCCACCCTTTCTGCCTCTGATCGAAAACATTAGCAAATGTGCCGAGCTTGAAGAAGAGTTGAAAACTGTGACGAACAACCTGAAGTCACTGGAGGCTCAGGCTGAGAAGGTAGGCCAGGAGCATGGTGTGGGGGAAAAGGCACCTTTTAAGAGCTACTCAAAAGACACTCGCTTTTTCTCTTCTAAGGTCGTACCAATGAAAGCAGTAGTCCATTAGGCATTTTAATAAATAGCATTGTTTTGAAGTGATTTCTTGATGGTTATTGGATAACAGATTCTTTTTTTTTAATAGAGAATATATTTTGAGTATGTGAGTCATCTGTAACAATTTAATTTAAGCCAAGTGCCAGATGGATGTTATCTTGTTCTTATCCCATGTAAAACAATAGGTAGGGAAACAGAGACTATATTGTAGTATGCCATTTGATCTCAGAGGCTCCATTACCTCCTAAGAGAGCCTCAACATCTGTTGGCTGGGCTGGCATTTTCTTTGTATTAGAAGACAAGAGTATAGAGTGAGCTGCAGCCTGACATCTGGAACGTTCTTTCTAATTACAGTACTCGCAGAAGGAAGACAAATATGAGGAAGAGATCAAGGTCCTTTCTGACAAGCTGAAGGAGGTAATATGGGTGTTGGGTGAAGCCAACTGAATTCTAAATGAGTTTGTTTTTGTGGAGCAGGTCAGAGCTTTTTCATTTTAAAGTTACTATTCACATCATGAAATTCAAAGATGCTCTTAGAGTACATGTGCTGTGCTAGCTGCCAGCTCTCACTGTACTGACCAACAAGTAGTTTCTGACCCATTTTATGAGTGCTGTGCTTGATTTCCATTCTCTATATTCGTAGGTACTACTGGAAATTTAAAACTTCCCTATTTTGATTGAAATAAATTAAATCATTACAGGCTGAGACTCGGGCTGAGTTTGCGGAGAGGTCAGTAACTAAGTTGGAGAAAAGCATTGATGACCTAGAAGGTAAGATCTTCAGTTTTGTTTTTAATTTAATCCTTTTGGTTGAATATAGACCTGGCAAAATGATTTTCTAATCCTGATGCATCCACCTCGATATACTTCTTTGCTCTTGCACATTCCTCCTGTCTGTCCTTGGGGTTTTCATTCTGTGGCTCTTAAACTCTTGGACCTGAGTCCTCTGCTCACCAGATGACTGTTAGCCACCAGACGGGACACGTCTCTTTTTGTAACAGCAGATGCCATCCAGTTTTGCCTTACGCTCCTCAGAAGTGTGGCAGGGTTATTTTTCATTGCGGGTAAGGTAGTAGAATGTGAGAATGACTGGTATATTTTCTATCGTTAGTAATATTTCCTAATTGTCAGAATGGTATAGATTTGTTTTTAGACACAACCCATCTTCTTCCAAGTATGAAGAAGGGTTTGGGTTGGGTTTTTGGTTTTTTGTTTTTTGTTTTTGTCATTAGTTATCTTGGCAAATGCTCTGTATTCTGAAAGAGGAATGGGGGATAATAGGGCATCATATTTTGAAATTATACTTAAAAACATTTTTCCCCTAATTTAAGTTTTATTGTAGTAACACTCAGAAATCCTAAATGTTGAGAAATCCTGAATGTGTCTCACAGAAATCCAAAATGTTGAGATTGAAGGCTTGTGGTCAGTTTTGAAAAAGAAAGAAAAAATGCATAAAACATATACATCCAAGGAAGAAGGAGCTAGAGAAGGGCCTGGGGATTGGTGTAGGTAGTAACCAAGCTAGTGGAGAAGAGAGAAAGACAAATGGTTGCAAAACTGTTCAACTATAACAAAGTACAGAGCCATCAATGCAAAAACTAAATTGCAGACTTGGCACACCACCACCATAAAAAGTGTGGCTGTCCTCGCTTGTCAAGCCTCCTGGACCACTAACAGGGCATCTTGATTGGGAAGACCACAAGGAGTAGTTTAAATGGCACTAAGAAGTCCATATCCCAGTGGTCTCCTTTGGTCAGGAAGTCAGTGGTTTGAAGGTGGAGCCAGATAAGGATTATAGACTATAGTCACAAACTGTTCTTCCAAAACACTGCCCTTGGATATTTTTCCACTGTTTATAGTTGCAGGTGGCTGACTACTCCAGTGTAATTAAAATATAGCTCTAGAAAAGAAAGACATTCTATTATTACCCGGCCAGGAGGCAGCCTTCTGTGGTTTTGTTCGGGACTTAACGTGGTTTACTGATATACCTACCATATTTGTTATGATTTTCATATTGCGTCTTTCTTGTTTTATTTTCTAATGGGTTTTGTTCTTTTTGTTTTTGTTTCAATTCGTTTAAAAACAAAACGCACGCCTCCTGCATTGGCCACCTGCTGCGGCACCAATTCCTTCATGCATTGCCCTTTTCTTGCTGCTGTGTCGGGATGGCGCCCATGCCACCCGCACTCACCCTCCATCTCTTGATCACTCTCCATGTCCTTGCACCTCTGCCTTCCACTTCCTCGTCATAGACGAGCTGTACGCTCAGAAACTGAAGTACAAAGCCATCAGCGAGGAGCTGGACCACGCTCTCAACGATATGACTTCCATGTAAATGTTCACCCACCCTGCCTGCTCACATTCGCGCCCTCATGCTAATATGATAAACTCACCGCTGCTCCTTTCTGTGCTTCCAGAATCTCCATCTTTACACCTTTCTGCCTACTCTCTTTGCATAATCTAGGATAGCCATTGTTTTTTCACTTTTTACTAATATAAAGGCCAAGTAAATTAAGTGTCTGTACAAATCGTTTTCCTTTCAGAATTCATTCATTTCCCGATCCGTAGGCTAGATCATTCCCACTGACCCGTGAACTGGAATAAGAAAGACTGGAGCACTGTCCTTTTAGGAAATTAAACTAGGCTCAAGTAAAATTAGGAGGTCATGCAATTGTGCAGGAACTTCCCAAAGAAATATCAAAAATTGGTTTCCTGAGATTGAATTAACAATGATCATTTTTAAAAAAAAGTAAAATTTAAGAACCCTAAAGAGTCAGATTACTGAGGGTCTGAGGGACAGGAAATTGGTGCACTACAGCCTAAAGACTGGTGCTTTAAAAGATCACCTCTTCCTCACTGTTAAGAATTCTAGAGAGAAACACTCTCCTGAGTAGCCAAGCCTTTAATTTTCTGTGTTTATATAAAGGGAATTAAAGTATCCCCAACAAGCACCACAACTTGTGTCAAAGAAATGGGACATAAAACACAGATTGCACAATATGAGTTTGGGAGTTAATGGCCCAGCTTTTACTACTGTGAGGCACTAAGAGATGGAGTAAATAGTCTTGTTCTCATGAGAACCTTGAGCACACACAACTAATTTCTATATTACTAACCACACCTAAACTTTAAACTTATTCTGTCTCTTTAAATTCTAACTTGGAGTGTTTCACAGAGGGTTCTCTTACCCTGATAATGTGGCACTGAATTCCACATAAGCTGGAAATTTCATTTTCCAGGCCCAGCTGTCCTTCCTTCATCCATGCAGAAAAATGGTAGCTTGAAGGGTGTGGCCCGTGCCTGCTGCTTTACAGCTTATAGAATCTCTATGTTACCCTAGAGACAGGATGGTCACTATGGAAACTAGAGAAAGCGCCCCCCTCTCCCCTATCTCTGGTCTTTCCATGAGACCGTAAACATGCTGATTCTATGGGGAAAACTTGTATCAAGTATGAGTAAATATACTAAAAGATGGGTTAGCTCAAAATTTATTTGTAAAACCTGTTCCTGGGTCTTAAGATGGACCCTTACCCTGAGGGGGCTTGTGATACCTGAGGGCGGTCCGGACACTAGGTGGGGCAGGGATCGACCTCCCGCAGGTGCAGCTGGCAGCAGGTTTTGCATGTCTGCTTCTCAGCTCTTTCAAGTGCTGCTCTCATCTGTTAGTCTGGTTTTCCTTTTTTTCCATTGTGCCACTTTTTTCTTTTTCTCCCACCTTTTCTCTTCATGCAGATAAGTTTCTTTGCTTCACTTCTTCCAAGACCCCTTCATCAAGCTGGATGTTCCGCCTCTCTCAGCTCTGCAGTTTGTCTCTTCCCCAGCTGACCCTGGTTCTTTCTTTTAGCATCCTGCCTTAGGGCCAGGCGCACACTGTGCTTTCTATTGTACAGAAGCTCTTCATTCAGTGTAAAATAAACACTGTGTAAGCTATTTCTGTTTGCTATTCTTTTTACTTCTTATTTATTGACATTTTAGTTTCAACACTGAATAAAACTACAAATCTGCTTCACGCATATAAGGGTTAATTTTTGGCTGCTGCTGGGTTTTTTATTTTTTATTTTTTTCATTCTGAACATTATACATTAATATCAAGAGTTTTTAAGACAGTAGTTCCTTGTGGAACTTTGAGGAAATAAAAATACTCATGCCTGGGTCCCTCTCAGAGTTTTGGTTTCCAGAATTTAGAATGAGGCCCTGGGCATTTGTGGGTTTTATTTTTGTTTTGGGGGGTTTTTTTGTTTGTTTTTAAGAGATCGTGATGATTCTAGTATGTAGTCTGGGCTGAGGACCTCTGCACAGGACACACTGCTTGATGGGGTCTGAAGATCCACCTTGAGCAGTAGCTTCCTCCGCCAGAGGTTTTGTCTGGGATGTGGTGAGCCCTCTCTGTTGCTACTTAGGTGGCCCTCCTCTGGAGGTGGGGGCTAACCAATGAAGTGCTCATGATGAATGCCATAGCCATCCCACGTTACTAGGAGTTTACACACAGGGAAAGGTGAGAAAGAACTTGGATCCAAACCATGTAAGTGTAGGTGATTGTTGATCCTCCTTTTACAACACAAAGAAGAGTTAAAACGTTTTAAAAGTATATTCATTACTCAGCCACCTTTATTATCATGAGATGACATCTTAGGTTTTCTAAATATGATTATGTTCAAGTTGAGGTTTAATTTTGTGCTCTGAAGCACATCATGTATTCTTTAGGAAAGTGTTACTTACATAATCTTTGCAATAATACTTGGTTTTTAAAAAAAAATTGTGGATATGTTTAATGTATAGCCATTGACATTGATTCTTTTTTTCCTCTAAAAAAAAGTAGTGGAAATGCTTCAAAATATAGTTACATTTTGTTTGGGCTTTGCTATTTCAATTCAAAAACAGCAATTAAGTGATTTGCCAAAAACACATTGCAAAATTAGAACTTTAAAATGATGTGGACTTTTGTTTCCTAATTCCCAACATTTCTTTGTCTTCAACAATCTGGCTATATCTGTCCTGTGTTTTAAGTGTGGGTGATCTTCATCTGTGTGCAGTTTTTGTTAGCCTAAGAGATTTGATGTACTACTATTTGATATATATGATATACTCAATTTATACTCAGATAAATTTGGACAAGCTGAAAATAATATCAAAGACTTCAGAGCAGATGATTAACACTCTGCTTACGAGGGCTGTAAATTAAATTATTTTAGTAGTGCTACAGTAAACTTTTTAAAATTTAGATTCTGGACAGTGTCTCTCCCTTGAGAATATAAAGACTTCTGTAATTTTATGTTCTTTTCCTAAGACTCCTTGGGCCTGTTTTCGAGTATGAGCCCTGCCTTGTTCTTTTTTAAATTCAGAGTAATAGAAGTTGGCCCTTCTCTGAGTGCTTCCTACAATAGACTAAATGACAAATCTGTAAGTTCTGCTGAGCATATATTCAGTTAATTCTGAAAGCACATCTATTGTTTTGAAACCCTCCCTCTCAGAGACTTTCACACTTTCTATAAGTATATCCTACAAGAGGAAATGGGAAACTGATGGATTGGGAAGGCAAATTTGAATAGCCCAAGAAGGTATATGGGTACACAAGAGGTTAAATAGCAAGTTGATTTTACCAAGAAATTGTCAGAGCCCAGGCTTCTAGTTTAGTGTGTTAGGCCATAGCTACAGCTGCTGCAACAACCTAGGTTGGACCAAACCCAAAACATTGCTGAGTCAGGGTTCTAGAGGCCCCAGACATCTGGAAGGTAGAACAGGAGGGGAAAATACTTCCAAACATATAAACAGTTCTGGTCCCTGCCCTCACCTGGGCATACCAGCTCTATGGCAGCTGAAGTGGAGCAGGTCCAAGGGAGGATGTGTTAGGGACAGCCGTCATTTAAGATGAATTCACACTGATCCTCTGGATTCTCTAGAATTTCTCCAAAGTTCTCCCATTCCAGCTTGGCCAAACATTGGCTCAGCAAACAGACATCCTGCCTGCCCATGGCAATAGTTATCCCATGCCATAGTGTGAATGTATTAGAGGGGTTTAGATTTTGCAGCCCCCAAGCATATGCCATGTACAAGACAACTGTAGAAGGTAGTGAGGATGTAGTAAAGAGGTGAACCAGAAATGTTCGTTGCCTTCAATGAGCTGGGCATCTTATGGGAAGGTAGTCTGAACTAATAGATTGTGTGCATTCAGAATCAAAGAATAATTCTGACCGGGAGCTACCTGGAGAAGGTAACATTTGACCAAAGTTTTGAATATTCAGAAAATTTGGATGAGCAAAGAGGACAAGGCCGGAGATATTCCAGGCTGGAAAGTATAATGAATATAATACCTTCCCCATCTTCTACCACTTATAAGAGAAAATTAAAATAATTTATCAATTTTCCAACAAACCTGGGAGTAGAGACTGGACATTTTCATTTTCCCCAGGAGTAGGGCCGTCAGCTTTTCAAGATCACCTAAGTAGAATTTCTGGGTCCAGGTTGTCACCATCATTCAAAACAATCATGTGTCCATCAGCTTTTTTGTGTTGGTGCCAGGCTCTCCTCATTGTATGGGTGTCCCCTGGACTGACACTTATAGTTGGCTTCCTTGCCATGTGAGCAGATTACAATGCCGATGTGTAAAATTTCTATCACACTGGTCTCCTTGTAGATGTCCAAAGTTTTGCTCATTTTATACATATACATCTAGCACCAAACATGAATGCCATCTTCAAGAAGGAAGCAGGTAAATTTTATGTCAGTTTTGAGTAGAGATAAGTGCTTGTTCTTTGGCTGTTGGAGAGGGTAGCACCCTATATCAAACCTAGATGAGAGTTCAGAATTCGCACCCTGCGTTGTGGTGATTGGGCAACAGGGAACTTAGTTCTGCATTTCGAAAAGTGTTTATGCAGTAGTGGTAGCCCCCTCGAGTTATCACCTGAAAGGAAAGCCAGCCCTGGGAGTGATGATGAAAGAGTTCCTGGAAGAGGTGAGCAGAAGTGGGCCAGTCGAGGCTTCACCATAAGATTTCCACTGAGCCCCACTGCGGAGTAGATGATGTGCTGGGCTCGCCTCCAGCCTTGCCTCAGTTTTTCAGGCTGTTGTTAGAAACTGCATTCATCTCGGTTCACACAGTGGTTGTAGTGGGGTGCAAGAGGGACGCCCACTCTCTCCTACTTGTACCCTGTTGCTCCCTCACCCCTCTCCCTAATCCCCAAGAAAATACTGACTTTTCCCAAGTCTGCCGGGCCTTTGCCATCTACCTTCTTGGACACAGGACAGATGACCATGGGGTAAGGGTAACCTCAGCAAGTGACCAGTGCCTGAGGTATCTGTGTTCTGTCTGTTAACTCCCTCTCTCCAAGTCCAGCTAACCTCTCTTCTGCCTCTTCTTTCTCTTCTGCTAACCTGCTTGCTGACCTGTACAGATCAACTCTACCAGCAACTTGAGCAAAACCGCCGCCTAACTAACCAACTAAAGCTGGCCCTGAATGAGGATTAAACTTAAGTGGGAAAGAACTTGGGCCGAATTCTAGGAATGAAGCCCATGGGCAGGAAATCTAAAACTGTCTGTCATACCTTCAATTATAGGGTTGAAAACAGTTGCTTTCTGCAGAAATGTACATGAAAGGATTCAGCCGAAAGGCTGGTCTTGCCTGCATTTTCCTCATATCTGGAATATTTCAGTTCTATTTAATCCCCCAAAAAAGCTTTTATGGTAAAATATATGCATTATGTATAGGAATAAATATAACAAGCACTCCTCTTTGCATTGGTAGTTCCTCTTGTTTGAACTGATACATAATGAAGAAAACCCCACTCCCCCCAAAAAATGTTTTTTATCTCCTACCGGGAACTTTTAAGTTAGCCAAAGCAGTGGAGTGTGTATGTGTATAACCATATATATATTATATATATAGGATGTAATATATATAATATATATTCCTATTACATATTCATATTCCTGACTTCTTGATATAGTGTTTGAAATATGATTAAATGTACCTATGCTTGGGCGAAATAGCTTTTGAAAACAGCAGCTCATGTCAAGTCCCTGATTGTCTGAAAGGTATGCTTTTATTCAGTCTAACGGTGTTGTTGGAATTTGGTGAGAATGTCATGCTGATGATAAATAGAATGCTATAAAAATAGTAAGAGAATGCCCTACTGAAGTGTGCATGAAACGTTGATGATTTTTTTAATGAGCAACAGAAATAAATCATTCCGAAAGTTGTCAGAAAACCAATTTACGTCATCTTTGTTTTCTGTGAGATTGTTACGGCACAACTCCCAGGCCTTAAACTGCCTGCAACTCATAAATGTCTGCTGTTATTAACTTCAGTGCTGCAAGCACCTCTCCCTGTTCCCACAGCACACGACCAGCGGACCTTCACCAAACCCACCTGCATTTTATTCTCAGAGTGGATTGTTGGTGAAGGTTCGCCTGACTGCTGTGTGAGAACCTGCTGTGCCTGTAGTTCTTTCAGGTCAGAGATGGCTCTCTTCTTTGTAGGTCCTTGTCTGGAGATGAGTAATGTCTTACAAGCATGCCTAGTCCTAATCATCTCATCCTGTGTTTGCGATTGATGTTTGCCTGCCTAAATGTACAAACCACCATTGTGTCCAAAGTGCAGCTATTCATGACTTAATTTTCTAATCCCACCACAGAGAAAGTGGCTCATGCCAAAGAAGAAAACCTTAGTATGCATCAGATGCTGGATCAGACTTTACTGGAGTTAAACAACATGTGAAAACCTCCTTAGCTGCGACCACATTCTTTCATGTTGTTTTTGTTGTGATTTGTTCTGTTTTTAAACACCGTGCTTATCATGAAACCCCTTAAATGCATTTTTATTTACTTTTACCACTGTCACAGAAACACCCACAAATACTGACTAGATTGAGGGGTGGGGAAAACACACACACACAGAGGCAAGCCCGGTCAGAGCAATAATGATTTAAATGTGCCATTTCCCAAGCTGCTGTTGCCACACTTCCGTAGAGTTTAGCAACACAGTATACTTAATCTAGGAACCCTCACTAAAGCAGAAAGATTTCAACTCAAAGTGCCAACGATATGTTCAACAGGAAGATTACTGTTGGAAGCAATCAGGTGTGGACTGGTGCTACTTTAAACAAAAGGCCCACTGTGGTCTTTCATTCAAAGGCATACAATTTTGAATTCTGTCCAACAATAATTTATTTTGTCTTGAGTTTTACTATGAGATGAGAGTATAAATTCTGTATGCCTGAATTCACTAAAGCCAAGGGTTTTTAAGCCACACTGCTCTTTTAAGACTATTTCCTTCTAACTGGCACATTTGCAGCTCATTACAACTGGTAGGATGGCATTCGATGTGGATTTCCACTCTTCATTTCTCCATGTTAAAGTGAAAGATTTAGGCACTACATAGAAATGGTAAAGAAACAACATTTTCTTAAGAGTTATAACTACAGTAGTCTCCCCTTGCCCACTGGAGATAGCTCCCAAAACCCCCAGTAGATGCCTGAAACCGCGGATAGAACCCTATATATGCTATCTTTGTTCCTATACACACAGCTCTTCACTTGAAGCACTTTACGGCTTCTCTCTGGCATATTCAAATCGAAAGGATCACTACTGTTGCGCCTTGGGACCATTTTTAAGTAAATATAAGGGTTACTTGAACTCACGCACTGCAATACCATGACAGTCAATATGATAACCAAGACAGCTACTAAGTGACCATTGGGTGGGTGGCATGTGCAGCGTGGAAGCGCTGGACCAAAGGATGATGCGGTGCGCAGTGGGACAGTGCAAGATTTTATCACACTACTCAGAATGGCATGCAATTTAAGGCTTACAAATGGTCTATTTCTCAACTTTTCCATTTAATGTTTTCCAACCGTGGTTGACTGCAGTTAACTGAAACCAAGGAAAGTGAAACTGCAGATAAGGGGGGACTACTGTATGTGTAAACATTGTATAATGATATGGAATAAAATGCACATTGTAGGCCATTTTCTAAACTTAGTGGTCCTGTCGTTTGTATGTTTTTACTTTGTGAACTTTAGATCGTGTAATCGACCTACCTTCCCTCACAAATGATTTAAAGCAAAAGAATATCCCAAAGTCCAGGGAAAAACTAGGTTTCATGTGTTATCTCCCCAGAAGTACTCAAGGCAATATCCCCTTGGTCTGTTAAAGTTGTTACCAAACAGGAAAGACCCTTTCCAAAAGATTCTCCATATCATTGATATATATCTGCACATACTAGAGACCTTTTATAGTAGTTTTACTGGTTTAGGTTAGTTAGCTTTCTCCTCCCCTCCCCCCACCCCCCAAATATTAGCTAAGTCTTCAGCAGTGGCATGCACACACATCAACAAATTGTGGGTTAGTGCACTAAAACTGTCCCCCAGCAGTGTGATTTTTACTTAAAGGTATTGCTTTAAGGGGTCTTTGTGATTTTCTGCTTTCTAACTCTTGGTGAGTTCTAAATTCAATACGTCCTCATTTTCTCAGACTTGGAAACCGAAAATATCGTAAGTTGCTCTTAAAGACTTTTAAGCAAATAAAAATAGATTACAAGATTAGTTGGCCAGACTCGTGCTGCAGGAGAAAAAAGGACATTCTCATGAAAAGTAAACAACACAGTAGAATTGAAATAAATGAAAATTCGTTTGGATGCACGAGTACTATTTATTGAAAAATATTCAATATCTGTAGTTGTTCTAAGCCCTTCGACCAGGTATTTTCCCTCCACAGAAAGAGTAGGTGTAAGGCAAAGAACCCACTTAAAAGTCTGGAGCCTGGACTTCTAATTTCCGCTTGCGAAAAGCTGTCCCCTGCTCAAGACAAATTAACACTCTGGGTCTCAACCTTCCACATCTTCACATCTTCACCACCCCTAGGCTCACCCCTGCCGGTCCTCAGTAGGCAAGAAATGCCTCTACCTCACTGTAGTCATAGAGGCCTTTCTTCACTTCTCTCACCCAGCACTTTTCACTTTGAGAGCCAGATCTGGCTTCCTCTTCACTATCTGTCTAGCCTGTCAAGTCCCTAAATCTGAAGTTCTTCATCTATGAAATACAGAAAAGATTAGTACCTAGCTCATAGGTGATTGTCATGAGACTCAAATGTATAACCCATGTAATAAGGTACATAGCACAGCACCTGGGGCATTCTTGATGACCATTAACTGCTGCTGTCCTCAACCTGCTTCGTGTGCTCCAGAGACCACCACAGAGGGTATTTAATATCCAACTTGATGAAGCTGGGACAACACTTAACTTTGCCCCAAATTATGACGATGATGATTAATGCTATCCTCAGATACCATATGCCAGAACCTGTAATAGGCACTGACAAGTGTTACTTCAGCTTCATATGCCAGAACCTGTAATAGGCACTGACAAGTGTTACTTCAGCTTCACATCCATCCCCATTGTACGAATATAGAAACAGGCTCAGGAAGGCTGAGTAAACCTACTCATAGTTCATAGCTCACAAGTAGTAGGGTAAGGTTCCAAACTCAGGCCTGTGGAACTACAAAGCCCTATTTGGATTCTTCCTCCAGTTGTTTCCAGCATTTTACAGCAGAAGAAAAGCAACTACTAGACATAAGTAGAAACAGATGAAGCAGCAGGTACATCTGGGAGGGGAGGAAACTGGGAAGATGTAGGTTAAGTCAGCTTGCAGCTGACGTGATCGCAAGTGGGTGGTTTAACTTCTTCCCTAGGTCCCAGGGGTCAGATGAAATAAATAAGGCATGCCATTTCGAAGAATTATTATTATCTAATCTCTGATAAGTAGAAAAGGGAGAGCACCCTGTCTCCTTGGGTCTGAGCCAGTGTGATAAACCGAACATGCCGCTCTGTGAGGTCAGGGGAGATTGATTAGGGCTCTTCAGTATGGCAATGCCAAGGCTGGAAGTCAATATGGTCACCATTTAGAAAACCATGAAGTACAAAGAAAGAATTCAAGATTCACACTCTAAATTCCATTCCTGAAATTCAGCAGGCCCAGATTTCAGAATGAACAGCTGGAAAAGTTGCCCTGTTCAGAGTAAAACACGGAAACTCCACAGAGGAAGGCTAAGGGGAAGAATATAAGCACCTTCCAAAAATGTTTAAATTTGTCATGAGATTCTACAATCTGTTAACTGGGATTCAAAGGAAAGCACTTCGTGGATACATTCTGAACTTTGAGACTGCCATTAAACAATTCCCCTTCTTACTGCTCCTCAAGATACTGTTAGCAGAAACAAAATTTAAATTTTGTGTATGCTGGTATGTATCCTCTGGAGTTTAATACTTTGGCCTGATTTTTTTCTTCTCCGGGAATAAAGAAATGTCTTTTTTTCTACTTGAACAAATATTTGAGTGTATGTTAACCACTTTTTCAACTTGTCAACACGATTTGTAGATGTGTTTTTTTTTCAGTCTGCAGTCAGATGTACATACAGAAAAAAAATCTGAATTCTCCAATTTAAAAAAGCACTAGGGTGCTCAGGAAGCCATCATTTCTAGAATTAGAGACAGGGGTTTGGAAAAGAATGTCAAGCAGTGCAAGAAGTGTTTTTTCTATCATATATATTTTTTGACATTGAGAGTTTTCAGAGCTACATTCCTCCAACAGATGTCATAAATTCTGTTTGTCAAACAATGAATGAAGCTATGTTGATGGTTCACTAATATGAATAAAACTTTTGCCAAATTTTTGACAAATGGGCATTGACCTAGAGGGTAAGACTGGTTCCTGCTGCCTGTGAGAGTTTTATTTCCATCTTTTACTAAGGCCACAGAGAACAAAGAGTCGAGTCAAGGCCTTATCAGGGCCTGCCAGGGCTGATGCTCTAACTAAAATGCTGATTCAGAGCTGGAAGAAGGCTTATACTCACCGAGGCCCAGAGAGGTTTATTGGCTTGCATGCACAAAGTCATTTGGTTAGTTGAGTTCAACCCTATGGAGTTCAGCTCCCATGAGGGGCAAGCAGCCCAGTGTGAGTCTTGGAAACCAGAGAGGCCAGCTTCAAATCCTGCTCCACCACTCACTGTGTGCCCTGGGTTAATTTTACCATTAGAGCAGCAATATTTTTATCCATAAAGGAGATAGATGGTTTGCCTCTTCACATGCTTGTGTGCTTCCTCACTGGGCTGAGAACTAAACCAGGTGATGTGTGTAGAATGTCGTCCTTCGCTCTTATTCTTCCTCCAGTCCCTTTTCAGTTCAGCCCTGAGCCTTTTCCCACCTCCTATTGGGTCCTTAGGGAAACTGAAAGTAACACCCTGACCACGCCATTCATTGCATTACAATGCCACCCCATACATAGAAGACATTCGAAATACATTTGTTGATTGGACGAATGGCCCAGACACAAATGTTGAAGTAACGATTCCGGAGTTGATAGTCACCTGTACACAGGAGGTGAAGAATATCTCTGATAGATTCAAATTTCATTTTTAAGCAAAACACCAGCCCTTGAAAATATGTTTCTGTTGCTTCATTCTCAAACTGCATTTGTATGTGTTGCCGAGTCAGCTGACAGAATATGGAATCTTGCTCGTAGGTCTTGCCACAGACATAAATGAAGGCAGGTCAGCCCTTGTTCATTCTTGAGGAACCGCTTGGCAACCGCTTCAGTATCCACTGTCTCCAGAGGAAAGCTAATGATGGAAAAGGTAAAGAGCCCTTTGTGTGTGTGACCAAGGGATGATTCTCCCAAGGGGCCAGCGGGGCATGGCTGGGCAGGAAGCATGGAGGAGTCAGCTCCCTCTGGGTGGATGCTGACTAGAGATGGGAGCGAGAAAGTCGTGAGTCCTGATCTGTTTTCAACTCAGGAAATACTCAGGATTTGGAATACTGCCTTTCCAGTGGAACTCTTATTGCTTAGACTCATAAATCAAGTATTAAACTCCCAGGTACATGCAATAGAATAACATAGGCCCATGGCCTTCCAATGAGCCGGGTTCCGATGCTGACTACATCTCGCATCAGCACACCATTCCAAGCCCATTTCCTCCTTAAAAACCACGTTTCACAGTAGAAACAAATTGCCAAGTAACTACTTGAATTGCTGTGGTCAAAGACACTTGGGGAAGAAGCAACTTTACCCTTCAAGGTTCTTTTGGTTAGTCTAATAATATACCTACATGAGACAGATTAACAAGAGAAAAGTAACCAAACTTAATTACATATGTATATATGGGAACTTCACATACATGATGAGAGAGTCAGAGACCCCACATACAGGAGAGGTTCAGGGACAGAAGGTTAAAATGAGGTATATATGGCATTCTGAGGTAAGGCACATTAGGGCTTCAGAGGGGTGGTAGGTCATTCGTAGGTTGGTAAGAAGAGCAGATGTTTAGTAATTAGATATTTGCCCTGCCTTATAGATAAATCAAAAAGTTATCTCTAGTAATAACTCTTATTATGGGAAAGGCCCAAATTTAAATCCTTTAAGGGAAAGGTAAGTGTCTCATGAGCTCATAGGGTGTCGATTGCCTTCAGTTCAAAATAATTTATGTGCCAAAGTGTCACTTCCTGGGAAGACCCGTTCTGAACCTCTTCAATACCATTATCTGAAGTGAGCCCTGTCACTGTCTCAAAGCAGTTAAATATTATTGCTAAAAGCCCAGCGATCAGCATATTGGAATTGTGACTCAGCACTTGGGCAGTAGGGTTCTTCATTTTCATTTTTAAGGTGGGCGCTGGCTTCACAGGAATGGCTAGCATAGATGTATTTCGGAACCCAGCCAGGACGTGATTAACTGTTGGCTTATTCAGCTTTAAGACTCTCATTCTTTGATTTGGCTTCCTACTATGTTCTCAGAAATTACCCCTTTCTAGAACACTCCAAGATTGTCTGCCTTAGCACTTTCCCAAGAAATTAAAAAGGAACAAGGCAGAACAATTGGCCCAGGAATAGGAATGTACTAAATGTAAAGAAAATGTGCCTCGGTGAAGTGTTTCTAGTCTCAGATTCTGGCAAAACTGCTCACATCTTTTCAATCACTAATCTTCTGCTTGAAAACTCCTATCCAGAATGTCTACTGTTTCTGGCTTGTGTTCTCTCTTCCCGCTCTGGCTACAATTTTTTATTTCTTGAACCCCTTGCTCTGCTCTCTTTCTCTTAAATAGAGAAAGGGCTTTCATATCGTCTCCTAGTAACTAGAGAATATGTGACAATTAAGATTATACATGAATCGGCCTATGAGACTAAAAATATTTCTACTTAAGCACACATTATTATTTTAGGGACTATAGGTTGGGGATTGTAGGACAATATAGGAAAAGCATAAAATAGACTTCTTGCCCTCAAGGAGTCTGTAATCTAGAGTAAGCAATGCACACACATTAAAAATAATAAGATGATTGCATGGTAAATTGAGAGTAAATGATACAGGAATGCATTCGAAACAGACATTATGTCCCTTTCCTAGAAGATTTTTTAACTGGAAAAGGCTCACTTAGGCGAGCTGTATAATTTTCTCAGTACTCAAGCTACAGGCAGTTCACAACTCACCTTTACTTCTCAAACCTTAGAAACAAGATCTCTGCTCGTTTATAAATGCTTTGGTTTTGCTATTTACTCTGGCCACCAAGTTTTGTGTTCTTTATTGTAGGTATTTTTTCTGCTGGACTTAATTTTTAAATTCTCCGCTCTTACCCACTCCCCACTCCTTGTCTTATGCCATTTAATTTTTCTTTTTTTAATATTTGGTCTTACTATACCTTTGCTTTTACCCTAGAGCAGGGGACCCCAGTCCCTGGACCATGGACTGGTACCAGTCTGTGGCCTGTTAGGAACCGGGCAGCACAGCAGAAGGTGAGCGGCAGGTGAGCTAGTGAAGCTTCATCTGTATTTGCAGCCGCTCCCTAGCGCTATCATCACCACCTCAGCGTCACCTCAGATCATCAGGCATTAGATTCTTATAGGAGAACCAGTTCCTGGTACCAAAAATATTGGGGACCGCTGCCCTAGAGCATCTCTCAATCTTTAGAGCAAAGAGTAGAATACAGATAATTACATAGACCCTTAGAGACTATAAAATCTGCTTTCTACTCCAGTAGGGAAGTCTGAAGGGAACCTTTGATTTCTGGGAAAGCAAGTGGATGAGAGTTGCCACCAACATTCATTTCTTCTATGGGAAGCCTCCCCGGTGCTCTTTCTTGTGGTCCTTAGAGAAGACAGTGACCTGATCTGCTGGAGTTGCCAGACTTCAGCCTTCCTAATGGGTTAGGAGCCCTGGGGATCCCCAAGGAATCCATTTTCCAGCCTTCCAGGAAAGCTGAAAACCGAGGCGGTGTGCCAGAGAGAGCTGGGTTTCATTACTGTATTGATAGGAACTGCTGGGGGCTGGGCGCTCTCCTTTTGCTTTTCTAGTTTGGGATCCCACCCAAGGAACATAAAATATTACTGATAAGAAGGCATAACGACCCTAACCTGAAGGATTAATTCCAATTTGTGTAACAGCGATAAGTATATGTTATATATTTAAAGGAATATGTAAATTACGTGCAACAGTTTGCAAGTTCTTTGCCACATGTGGATATAGGGTTGCAAGGTAATTAAGCCAAAACGCACACTTAAGGTACAAACCACCATATAATTGTATACATTTTGAGTTTTTTATTTGTCACAAAACGTTATAAAAACAATAGAGAAAATCTATAAAGGAAAAGGTCACTCATAATCTCACCGCCACAAAATATTTTCTATGTGTTCTGCCCATGTGTATATGTACAGAACTTTTTATTCAAACTTGATTTTTTTATTCAAAAACTTTTGCATAACACCTTCCTATGATGCTAAACTAACTTTCATGGTATCATTATATGATATTCACTCTGGTTAATATGCCATAATTTTTTATTCTCCTATTTTTGATCCTTTGAGTGGTTTCTGATTTGTTGCTCTCACAACTAGGACTGACATAAATTCTTTGTACTTTGGAGATTTTCTGAATCATAGAAAATGAAAATATACACTTGAAAAAAAAAAAAAAAAGCTGTTTCTTTTACACTCAGGCATACCCTAGATATCGCGCTAAACTCTTTTAACTCTGTAGTGATTCATGCTCCAGCCTGGACTGAACAGCCTATTTGATCTACAGGCTTCGGGTTCTTAAAAAAGAAGCAGAGAACACTTTCTCAAAACTGGTTGAAATAGAGGCCTTTAAGAAATCTAGCTCTACATATTATCTCTTTCTCCTTTTCCTCCTCCTAATAACGAAAACACAGGAACTTGAACTTTAAGAGATGCTTTCTCAGCAGCCACCCTGCTCTTTCCTGTACCCCATGTCTAGACCCAGAGCTAATAAAAGTGAACAGTGGATGTGTGTTACAGCCCAGGGCCATTCTTGCCTCAGTTTTGAGAAGACCCTTAATTATGGGTAATAAACTGTGATAGAAGGAAGAAGAGGTAAAAGAAGCTTAAACTGCACTGCGAAGGACACAGTCTGGGATAGCGGTTAAATTCTCAGGCTTTGTAGTAAAACCAGAATTTGAAAGCCACTTCTGCCACTTACTTACTGGTCATATAGCTGTGAGTAAGCTACTTAACTTCCTTACTCCACCTGCAAAATGGGGATGATGACAGTACCTCCATTCAGGGTATTATTGAGTTTTACATATAAAATTTTTAGTAGAGTGCCTGGCACAGCAAACTCTCAATGATAGACAACTTCTTTTGTCGTGTTATTGTTTAAACATGCCTGAGTCTTACATCCTTGCAATCAGCCCTGATAGCCACCCTCCCTAGGCTTCAGAGAAAAGGCTTCCCCTTGTCTCATCTATAGTCACCTGTGAGGCTGCCATATGGTGCTGTCTTTGCTCCTTCCAGGCTGTCTCTGATGTTCATTTCATCAGGATGGTTCAAGGCCAGATAGCCAGCCTAGTTGGATCTTCCCCCTGAAATCACAAGGAAGCAAGGCTTCATCACCTTTCAGGACTAAAATCCAGTGTTGGTGAACAGTAATAACAGCCCCTCTCCAGTAGGGAGAGGCCTGAGTAGATGCTGAATGACGGAGGGAATGACCAACCATCACTGGCTATCTGGGACCCGTCTCCCCTTGGCATCTAGTCAAGAGTGCCCAGGTCTGTGTCTCCACCAGTGCATGATGGACTTTGGTGTCTGGGTTTGGTTTCCCAGGGACTTCTCAATGACACTATGAATACCCAGCTCACCTGGTTGTTGATCCTATTCCCAGACACCAGATGGTTACCTGGGTCACTTTAAAGTTTTCTTCAGACAATAATAATATCTTCATCTTCCCTAGTGAGATAGATCCTTAATGTCTGAGGTTCTGCTTCATGGTTTTCTCTGTTGGGATGTGGCTCCTGCCTCTGAATCTCGAGCCTTGAAACAAGGGGTCAGCAAGAGGAAGCAGGCTATTGTCAGTCACAGCAGGTCCTGGATGTGCCAGCAGAGGCAGGAGCTAGAGCTTTGTAGCTGCGGCTTTTGTCTAGAGAGGTCTGGGTGTGGGGCCAGGCACAGGGACCCAGCTAGCGCCAAGAACAAAAGCCAAGCATGAACAAAAGCCAAGCACCTGCTCTGTGCTTTCGGATCTGGTTGGCCAGGGTATCTGACACCAGGGAACATCTTTCCTTTCACGCTTCATTGTCCTGGGGCTTCAATTACATTCTTGACTCAGAGCCCAGGAATGGGGATAGCAAGCACTCCAAAAATCCTTAGAGCAGTGACTCACTTGAGTTTTCAGCATCCCCACCTCCCTAACCATGCTGCACTCAGCTGGTCTTACAGATAATCTCACCACCACTTCCATGTAGCTGGGTGAGCATCCCTCAGCCTCAGAGCTGGGTCCTACAGGGCTGTGTACTGAGTGCATCGGCAAAAGCAGGACACCCAGAAGAATGAGAAAAAAATACAATTTAATATTTTATATTTTTCCCAAAAAAAGAATTGAAGAAGTCATCGCTGGGAAAATCTGAATATCCTTGGTCTTACTTCCACTTATTTCACAGTGAATTTTTAAATTTTAGTTTGAATTAAAAATGTGTGAAGAATATCTTAAGCAGACTGTGTCATGGCCCACCATCATGAAGTGCTGGGCAACTCTGCTAGCTTCTTGCTTGTGCCTTTGAGTTTCCTGAGGACCCTGGCCCACCTGCCCCCAACCTACATTTACACACATCCACACCCGGAGCCTTCATCACCACCACCACTGCTCTCCTGGGGCAAACGCCGACCACAGTTGTACCTTATGCTCCATGTGTTTTTGTGAGTCTGCAGCACTGATACATCCTGGGTTCAGTCCCTGGTTCTCCTCAGCTAACAGCTGGGGAATCTGAGGCAAGTTACTTGGCATCTCTGAATTTCGGTTTCCTTTTCTGGAAAAGCCTGTCCTTTATGGTTGTTTTAAAGAATAAAAGGGCCTGGCATACGGCAGGCTCTCAGTAAATATCAAGATTGTTAATGCATTTTGTTCACTCCTTGCTTCTTCTTAAAGGAAGACAGAGCAAGTCCCTTCTTTAAAAAAGGACCATCACCATCCCCCACCACCCCATAGTGCCTGAGGAACTTTGCAGGGAAACTTTACCATTTGAAGTAGCCTCTTGAGTCTCCTGCCTCTACTACTCCCAAACTTTTTAAAGGGAAGGGGTCTCAGAAGAGTGGTAGCTGTCATCATTTTCTAAAATGAGTGCCTAATTTTTTTCTAGGGTCCAGGTGAGTGTATCTGAGAAGCCCTGGGCTGAGAAGTCCTCAGGGAGCGAGGCCTGTCTGGGAAGGGCAGGGCCAGCCCTGAGGCTCCTTGAGTTTCGCAAGGCATGCATTTCCAGGAAAGGACACTTTCCCAGGCCCCTGTGGTCATGAAGCTCAAGGGCAGCAGCCGTGAACACACAGTGGTAAGAAGGTAGGGAGAAAGGTGTCGACTAGTGCTTCCTGCACTTAAGTGAGCACAGGAATTACTTGGGCATCTCATCAACACGCAGAGTCCGACTGTGGTCTGGGCAGGCTTGTGGTTCTGCATTTCTTACCAGCTCCGGGCGGTGCCAGTGCTGCTGATCTGTGGGTCGTACTTGCAGTAGTTGGGCTCTGGCTCTGAGGTGTGACTTGGTATTTAACGTTGGCATTACTCAGAAAGACTGTGGCTTTCATGCAGGTGGTGAAAGGAACAGAAACCAACTTATTCAGCTCAGGAGTCACAGTCTAGGAAGGAACATGTGACGCCCACACCAACCTAGGCTCTGGGGGGTGAGGCCCTTGGGTAGTTCCACAAGACTATACAGTGAGGAAGAAGTAATTTCTCACCAGCACATAGGGATATCTTAGGAGGGGGACATTAGTACAAAGTAGCCCAAACCCACAGTTGCCCACTCCAGCCCCCCCAGGACCACAGCAGTCCTGAGAAAGAGCTGAGGCACCAGCCAGGACTAGGGGGAGGCAAGTGAAGCAGTAGGATGCAAAATTCAAGGAGGTGCTCATTCTCAAGGTCATGCAAATACTTAACCTGAATGCCTCCTTTGCATCCTATTCGCCTTGCCCTAGTCCCAGTCCTGCTAAGGCCAATACTAGTCACACTTTGGTTTCCCTCTTTCATATTCCATCTGGGACAGCCGGCTTGAGCCTCTGTGCCTCTATTTTTCCCTCAAGAAAACAAGGTAACAAAACAAAAGTGAGAAAGAAAGTCACATACCAGAAAAGTCTTCAGAATTTATATATCTCGGAATGTCTGGCACTGAACCCAAGACCTGGCATGTAGTAGGTGCTTAAAAATGTTTTAATCAATAAATGATTGAATCCTGTTCCTAAATGGTAAGGACCCGTCATTATTTAATAGTAGTTGTCACTTATCCAGAGGGCAGGGACTGTTCATCATCTTTGCACTTAGTGTGTATTCCCGGAATATAATAGAGGTCAGTAAAAGTCTGTTGAATTTGATAAAGGTAAAACTCATTCTGCCTCAAGGTAAAGTCAGTAGTTGTTTACAAGGTGACAATTAGGGACCTTCTTCAAATATTTTCCCTTACTCTTCTTGAAATTCCTGTCTTAAAAATCTCTTTGACTTTCATTTTTCTTACCCACTTGTCATACTTTAAAATGCCAGAGCAATAGGGAAAGTATTACATTAACCAGGAACAAAGCTTTGCCTTCATTGCATATTTGCCTTGAGAATTTTCTAAACCAGGCACACCATCTCTTACGGACCAAATTAACCCACAACCTGTTATCATACAACCTGAGAGCTAAAAATGGTTTTACATTTTTTAATGGTTGGCAAAAAATTCAAAAGAAAAATCATAGTTCGTGATATGTGAAAGTTACATGAAATTCAAATTTCAGTTGTATTGGAACACAACCACAATCATTCCCTTATGTGATGTCCATGGCTGCTTTTACTCAACTACCATGATAGAGTTGAATAACTATGACAGAGTCTAAAATATTTACTATCTGGCCCTTTACAGAAAACAAGTTTGTTGACTCCCTACTCGAAAAGGAGGCTGTTCGTCCTCTTATACTTATCTCATCAATTTATTCCAGTACTTTTTACAAAAATTACTAGATATAATCTAATTTTAGTGAGGGAATGACACTCCCTATAGGAAGTTATATCTAAATAGAAATCTTATGAATAAAATTATATTTTAAATATTTTGTATATTTCTACTTAAAATAATTTTTTAGGTTAAAAAATGCAAATGTTCTCTCTCTGAGTTTTGGGGGTCAAGTTTGTCTGAAGCAGGCACTGAATCACCTCCAGAATCCCCTCCTCTTTATTTTGTCTTCTTGCTCATAATTCTTGGGGCTCAGGCCTCGGCACTGGTGCACGCCATGCTTAATCTCAGTCTCAGCTCACTGGAAGCAGACTGTTTGAATTATGATATCCAAGCAAGAGAGAGACTTTTCCCAAGGGTGGATAAGGAAGTGATTTACTCTGACTACTCCCAACAATATGACTGGGAAATCATCTCTCTGCAACTAAGTGGTTTCCATACTGCAAAGAGAAGGGGGTGAAATCAGGTAAGGATAGGAATTCCAGAATTGGTATTTCTTTCATTGCTCCCCTCCCCCTCCTTCAAGTTTATTGGTAAATGTGGGATTGTCATTTTGGCGCTCATTCAGTCCCCCACATGGATTCTCCCCAAACTTCTGGGTTTGCAGCTGGTCTACATCAAGAAAAGTGAACTTGGGCTAAGTTGGCAGCACATTGATTTTAGAGTTAGACGTCACCTCCCAGTAGGGAGAATTGATGAGATCTGATCTCAGTCTGAAAGTTGGGGTTTCCCTTGGCTCTCTCAATCCGTGATTCTACTGGATTTGCAAAGAGGATTTTGTTGATCTCACCAGTGTGAGCCTCGAAGCTCCATTTTCCCTTCTCGCCTTAGTCACAGTGTCACAGCAGGGTACTGCCAATGGCAGCATGGGAGGCTTTTAGCCATCGTATGAATTACTGGTGAGAATTTAAAAGTCAACTCCTCCTTCAAGAAGTAAACAGAGGAGAGGTAACATATGGCAGCAGACTCTCACTCCGCCTGCCCTGGTGAATTTTTCCATCTCCTTGTTTTCCTAGTGTATTTAGTGTATGTCATAAAATATCTTTAAACAAAGGATCCCCAATATTTTCCTGATGTAAAGAAACTTTGAATTTCCCCAGAGTCATAAAATCGAAGGGCTACCACATTCACAATACTTCTGACACCAGATGTGTGGGTCGTCCACCCATAAGGCAATTCTCTGACACCAGCTGGGTGTCCAACAATTCTAATCACTTTCAACAGTGTCTACTTAGAGTTAGCACGAGATCCCACAGATTAAGAGCTCAGTCACACAAGGCTGTCCCCACTTCAGGTACTTCTAACTGACCAACTATAAATCAGGGTTCCCATGACCCCTCCTCAGGTTCAGCAATTTGCTAGCATAGCTCACAGAACTCAAGGAAACCTATTTGCTGGTTTATTATAAAGGATATAATAAAAGTTATGACCAAACAGTCAGATGAAGAGATATGAAGGGCAAGGCCCAGAGGGGTTCCAAGTGCAGGAGTTTCTATGCCCGTGAAGTTAAGGTGTGTCACCCACCCAGCATGTAGATGTCTTCAGCAACCCAGAAACTCCCTAAAGCCCGTACTGTTGGGATTATTACAAAGATTTCATCATGTAGGCATGGTCAATTATTAACTTCATTCCCAGGTTCCTGCCCTCACTGGAGAACAGGGGTGGGTCTTAAAGTTCCAAGCTTCTGATCATGACTTGGTCTTTCTGGTGACCAGCCCCCACCCAAAATTTAAGAGTCACCTCAAATTTATGCAAGGAAAAAAAAAAAAGAGTCACCTCATTAAAACGTAAGACACTCCTGTCACTCAAGAAATTAAAAAGGCCTTGGTAGATTATTGGTGGAGTGGACCAAGTCATTAAAAAGAAGAGAAAAGAACAACTATATGCCAGACAGAGGAGGCACCAAGGGCTGCACACACCCGTCTTTGATACAAGCTCTTGATTTTTTTTATATTGTGAAAGTATGAAAACATGTCTTCAAAAGTCGTGCCCTAGACCCTGCTTTCGGACTGCCAACCCTAAGCTCTTACTAGTTCAACAGACTTTGCGTAGGTTATCTTATTCAATACTCACAACAACTATATTGAATAGGTAAGATATCCCCATTTTAATGGATAACAAAATGGAGGCTCTGAAAGGACACATTGCTGAGAAGTAGTAGAGCTGGGATTGGAACACATGGTTGGCTGTGTTTTTGTTTTTGTTTTTTTGTTTTTTGTTTTTTGTTTTTACCATTTTATGCTGCTTCTCTGCTGAGAATGATAATGAAGGGGAAGAGGGACCCAGTGGGGTAGCCAGTTTGAGGATGAGCCAGGCAAGGCTCCAGAGCCTTCTGATGGACTGCCTATCTGCCCTGCAGGGAGCTCTGGGTTGAGCTGTAACTGAGGTGAAAGTCTGAGAGAGAACTGATCCCCCTTCCCCCAGAGCACACAGTCCATGGCTTTACTTCTCTACGATGCTTAGGACAAAGCAGTGTACCCAGGCCCACTGACTTGATGTGAGATAAGGAACCGATTTAATCTTAAACCAGGGCTAAGTTTTATGCTGTCTTCCTTTGTCAGGAAGAAAAATGATAATCACATTCTCTGAGTGGTATCTCCTCTTACAGAAAATTCCCCAAGAAGATTGGGTAGTTGGTCCCAATCCATGCTGAACCTGATGACAGAATCAGCCTTTTAATTAGTTTGTCTGGTTCACCTGTTGGGAGTGATGGTTGCTCATAATCCAGGAGGTGCCAGCTCTTTATACCCCCAGTAGCACAACTGTCCCATTAAACGGACCCTCGCGTGTAAGGTTCCTTATGGAGAACCCTGCCTACCAGAACTGCATTATGACTGTTGTGGACCCTGCGTACTCTTGCCTTTCTGGGCCCCCTTTCTGCATAAAATACTATTAAAATTATATTTTAAGTTTGCATTGGTAAGAAGACAAACATATCAATATTTTATATGAAAACATTTTCTTTGACCTAAAAGTTTTTTCTTCTGATTTTAAAAAAAATTAAACCATTTTCATGAGCGTCTGAAAGCATCGTGGGCCCTGGCTGGGCACTGTGCCTCCTATGCCTGATGAAGGAGAAGTTGGCCCTGCTGCCCGCCTCTGCGCCCTCTGTTCCATCCCACCCTCCATGGCCCTGTGTGCCTAAACAAGGAGATAGTTCGTATTTGCTGAAGGAAATTCACAGTGCAGTGCATTTTTTCCCTAAAGAAAACCAAGCAATAAAAGATACTTGTGGGGAAGTCGAGATGAGGAGAAGACCCTGAGAAAGCCCAGGACTGGCAGCCTAAAGGCCTGGGTCTCAGCTGGGACTTTACCGTTTGACTCCTCAATTGTCCCAGGAAGATACAACTCTGTCTCTCAGCGGTATGTTGAAGATCAAAGGAGCCAGAGGTAAGACCAGTAGCAGGAGTGAAGCTTCAATGAAGCAAGAATCGAGATTGATCTTATTACTTTTTAAGGGCGAAAACAAACCAAAGGCAAGCCAACACCTTGACCTGAGAGATGATGGGCTCCTGCCTAAGACACTCTCAGGGCATAGATACATCAGATAATGCTTGTGTAAGGAGAAGGAGAAAGTTCCAAGGGGTTGGAGAGTACAAGCATTCCTGGCACATCTGCTGTTTGAGAGAAGCAGCCAGAAAAGGGAAGGGGACAATGTGACATAGGCTCCCTGGAGAGTTGCCCAGGACAGGGTGGCCACACTGCTAGCACGACCAGTTTGGAGGATGTGGAATGAGGAAGGGTGGGCACTGGGCGGAAAAGGGTGGAATCAACCAGATGGCAAAAGGTTGTGAAGTTCACGAGTGACCGTTCTCCATGGCCCTCAGAGTCTGTCAAGTTCCCAACTCGTCCAGTGTAATTGGATATTTATTAGGAGACAACAAGGAGCTGAGCTTTGTGACTGTTTTGATAGCAGCTGAACCCAAAACATGAGCAGATATGCAGGAGCAAGGAATCAACAAGACACTGGAAGTGAGGGGAGACTGGGCCAAAATCTTGGGAAGGGCTTTTAACAACCACCAGCAGAGCCATCTGGTCAGCAGGCCCCACTGGCACAGGGCCTCTGGCACATGAGTTTTTTTTTCAAAGGCCTATGAAAACACATGTGATGAGAAAAAAAATTAATGGATCTGAACACAGAGAAAAGTGTAAAATTAAAAGTAATACATTTTGGTTAAATGTCTATAAAACATACGATTACGTCAACTTCATTTTTAAATTTAGTATTGTAAATTTTTTTTATTTGAAAACAATGCTACAGTTTCATTTTCTCACTCTATAAAATTTTCTGTGAATGCATGATGACAGCCCAGAAATCATAGCCAATCGTATAGCAAATGAATGACTGGTAGCTAAATAATTTCAAGAACAAAATTAATAAAACCCTTTTGATTATTAAATGTAGTGGCAAAATTTTTAAATATGGATATTTCCTGGTTTGTTTGATGTGATGTGGAATGTGTACTCCATAATTCAGAGGCCTTGGGGCCCAAAATGGTCTGAAACCAGCCCCGTTTACAGGCTCTGGAATTGGAGTTTAGGCCAAGTCAAGCCAGATCTCTGAGGGATGATATGGGGGCCCCAGCTGATAACAGATAATAACTGAATTAGGTAAACTGGGAACTTTCGAATTCTGAGACCATCTGTACACAAGTGCTTTCAACACTGAAGTGCTGTTCAGATGTATAAGATTTTAAATGTCAGGTCTGAAGCTCTCTGGAAGAAAGAAGCAACTTACAAGTGTAGTAAAGTGTTATGTTAAGGCTCCGCTAGAGCTAAAATAACTCCTGAAAGAGAAAGTGAATCAGAATGAGTGGGTGATAAATTGCCTCTTGGCCTGTGGCAGTGGCCTGCATAGGTCAGGTGGCCTGGGTGTGAGGCAGGGAAGCACTGGGGGTCTCTCTGGCCTGGACCAGCAGCCCACAACATTGCTTAGCAGTAGGTCTCCTGATGGCAGCTGGGATGTGCTGTCACCCACTCAAACACTAAAAACTGACACTGATTGGCATTTTCTTTTTAAAGAATGTATTTTTTTCCTTGATGATTTCACTCTTACACTGGAGAAAAGGGAGGAGGAATATAAAACGATGCTCTCCAGTCACCTCTCTCCTCCTTCATTTTTTGTCTGTTCCTAAGCTTATACCATTTCACGCCCGTTCCTGTCACACCCCGCTGTGTCTTCCCTTTCCCCAGTCAGGTCTCTTTGACTTAGGGTTTATTTCTGGTAGGCAGCAAAGGTGGCTGGTAGGCAGAACCCTCTCACGCTGGGTTCAGAGCTGTGAGTGGCAGAGAGGGAAGAGGCCAGACTGAGAAGGACATCACCGGCCTGGCCTTGTAGATCCAGGAGTGATCATGGGAGAATCCAGGCTCCTCTTCTCACTCTCAGCTCATGACCTCAGCCCTGAAGTGACCAGTGAGGAGATGTTGCAAGGCCACTGGTGTTTGACTGCTTCCCATTGACCTCGGGGAAGCTATTGAATTGGTCTACGTCCATCTATCATGGGTATCAGTGACCAGAAAGGCAGGGGCCAAAGAGCAAAAGGGAAGAGTGACTCTCTTCTCCCTCCTTCCTTAAGGAGATCCTGTCCCCTCCCAGGACTCCACTCCCTTTGCCACAGCCACACACAGTCACCTTGAACCCTGAGGTCTAATAGTTTTTACAATAATGAACTCACGTTCATCTAGCACTTACCTGATCTCAGAGAACATCTACATATATTACTTGATCTGGACAGTGATGCTAGTAACAAGGTGGGACAGGCATCAGAATTATGTCCAGTTTATAGATAAGGAAACAGTTCAGTGGTGAACTGACTGTCCATTCTTCTGCAGCTAGTAAGTGCATGAGCCAGGTGAGACTGGAACCTGGTTCTTCTGAATCCAAGCCCATAGTGAGTGGGCTTTGACCTTTAACGAATAGGAAAGCATCAGCTCTCACTTAGCAGCCAACTTGGTCGTAAGCATGGATTGTGGTTAAGGGTACACACATAGCGAGTATGAGTGATCCTAGAACCAGAATTTCTGCCAAGGCTTTTAAAATGCTGACATCATGTAAAGTAATTGATCTTTAGAAAGAAAGATCATTTTATTTATGACAAGATTCAGTGCATTCATTTATTCATTAATTCATTCACATATTCATTCACTCAAGTGCATATATCAAGAACTATCGTATGTCCAATAGATGCAAGCCAATTTGCCAAAAATCAGTGCATCCCACAACGCCATCCGCTGAGTAATCAGTTCACTCGATTTGTCAATTTAATCAGTTTGTCAAATGAGTACTTTACTGGTTTTACCAAATTTATCCACTGTAACTGTCACAGCCTGAACACTAGTGTTTTAACAATTAAAATATTGGCCAAACCGAAATATGTAGAAATTAAATTTTTTTCCACAAGAAGCATTACTTTTCCAGGCAAAATCCCAACCTTAAACTATATGACAGGATTGTTTTGGCTACATCTGCTTTCCTTATGTGCTTTTGAATGTATATATTTCCAAAGTTGAAACACTGAAATATTTTTTCATCAGTTTCTCAAAGGGTCGTTAAGCCTGACCTTTGTAGAGGCAGCATAAGAAGCGATTATGCAGACCTGGAGCCAGCCTGCCTGATGTGTAAGCCCAATTCTGCCGCTTTCTTTAGAAGCAGCACCTTGGTCAAGTTACTTGTACATATTTGATGTGACTTCGGCCATATTATGTACAAACAATGGGGGAGAAAACATATCACAATAACAACAGGGTTATTTCTGGGTGGTGGGATTATGAGTAACTTTACTTGCTTTTCTTATAACTTTTCTATATGTCTGTCTTATTTTAAGACATTGTTTTAGGAGTTTGAAGTGTTCAATATAAAAGAAGAACTACACTAGATGGCTTTATATATGTTGTTTTATCTAATCCTCGCAATAAATGGACAAGATAAATAATATTATCACCATTTTACAAAGACACTGAGGCTCCAAGATATTAAGTAACTTGCATGCGTCCCCAACCTCAGAGGAGTCTGACTTCCAGTCTGTCTGATTTCAAAGCCCGTGCTAATGTTTACTTCCTCTGGTTCAATTTAAGAGTCCTTCTCTGTTAAATGAGTGTGATACCTACCTGCATCTCAAAATATGAAGG